TGATAAGCAAGAAGGATCCTTCCTAACTACACATTTAAACAAGGAGGCAACTTCACCTATTTAAAGCCTGACTATCATGCTAAGCTTAAGATGTTATATGCCATTATTGACGGGAGGACAATTACACAAAATACCAGCATCAAGATAACTCGTGTATTACAAGCTATTGAGACTAGATGGCAAATAAACATAACTCATTTTGCTTACAACGGATTTGTAGCCAAAATGAAGTATGTTGCCTTACAAGTAGGCAAGGGAAGGCAAATGAAGATAAGAGTCATCATTTTCTTGCAACACATCTACAAGTATTACATAACTCAGAAGAATCCCATACCTCTCTTTGCCATTGAGCCACCACCTTTAGTATCTCCTCCGAGGGAGATAGCAAGGGAAGGGACGGACATTCATGAGGGATGTGGATGTGGAATAAAGTTCTTAAAATCCCAATGATATAGATTTAGGCCAAGAAAATTCTCCCCTCAAAAAGAAACTTTGCCTTGATCCAAAAATCTAAACTACAAGACCACTAGGGTTCATTCTGCAAAAATTTAGTGGCCAAGTATGCCGTGGAAAAGCTAAACATAACAAGTATAGTGATAAAATGCCACACCTAGATCAAGAATAAAGTCATGACTCACCTTCGTCTACAAATATGAACTTGATGCCAATACAAATTTCTCCAAGCATCAAGAAAATAACAAGTACACAAACAAACAACATTAGCCAAATGATGGATGCCAAAGTTGTGAAAGAAATTCCATAACTTAGGCCACAAACTCTGACATACAATGCATCTATAAATGTTGCAAAACCATTGGCTGTAGACACAACCAATGAGGTGAGTTTAGGCCAAGAAACTCAATAGGACGAAGAGGATGAGGTTACAAATGAGGTCTAGGTGAACTGGAGGAGTATGGACTTAGTCTTCTTTAGACCACCTATGCATCTTATAGCAACACACTCTCAGCTGATCAATCTAGCGAGATGAGGTAGCCACAACAATAGCAAATACCGCAACAGCATTACAAAGTCAAGGCTAGCCACACTTTTGCTCACAAGACTGCGAATCAGTCGAGCGAGCTAGCAATTTGAAGCTTCATGGAGGACCTTGCTCAACACATCAAAGGAGGAGGCAAACAGCTAGTCGACGAGCCGATGCAATCAGTAGAAGATGAGGAAACAACAAAATACTATACACAAGTCTTAAGCTACCTCAAGACAATCACCAAGAAAGTGGATAGAGTCATGGACGAGTAAAATCATCAGTGCCACATAATCTAATAACTCAAAAGTACAATCCCAGCTTCCACATCCATCAATGCAAAGTGCATCAACTGCCAGGACCAACACATCGCAATGCTCGACCAAGAAAATTAGATCATATGTTAGGAACTCGACGATCTATGTTGAAGCATCAAGTTTATCGCTATAAAGGCCAAGCTCAATAGTTTGGAGTAGGATTTAGAGAATCCAATTGCCTGAGGACAAATAATAGCTTTATCATGGGGGAGTGATGAAGAGGTAAATGTTTTATCTTATGTATCTTCCTAGAAAGAACAAACGAAGGAATTTTAGACGAAATGGAGTTACACTTAAGCTTAAACATCCAAAGAAGAAAGACTTGACCTAAGCAACACTCGTCATAGAGAAGCAAGAAGCAGTGAGGAACAGTTATAAAATTATGTAGTATATAAGTAACACTTAGACGTGTTGGAAAACAACCCCCATTTACTATTGTATGTATTTGCATTGAATTAACCATCTTTTTTTTTGCCTATGACTATTTGTGCAAAGTAGAGTTGAGAAAATGATATATGCTTATCCTTACTCACACCTTTGGGGTTTAAAGTTGAGTTATCTTCTATTCTCTTTTTATTTTTCTTTTCTTCTTTTCTTCTCTATGTTCTTATTTTTTTTTGTTTGTTTGTCACTATTTTGTAGACAGGGGCAAGAACGTGAGTATAGGCAAAAAAAGTCTTACTTAGGAAATGAATGCCAAATTGCATCACCGACTCAAATGGCCCTTAACAAAAACGATGCAATTATTGGAAGGCATCATTATAATCGTCAACATATCCAAATGCATATTTGAAGATGTCTGGGATAATGCTCCAATCCGCACAAGCAGTGTGCTCAAACCATTGTACCACTATAATGCTATCCCTTGGAGATATGTGGGAAACTCATGCAAATGCCGAGCATCATCCAAAGAATGATATGTGGCCATCATCATAAAGTAATTAAACTAATGGTACACATCACCCTCAGAATTCCCACAAAATAACTCTGGTTGGATGCAAGGATTAGTAGCAAGAGCAAGAGGAGCTATACCATGTGTAATGAATGCTACCATTAATTAAGTTTAATTGTTCAATTACAACTTTATAGCATTGAGAAACTTCAAAGGAGGAGGAGACTTTGTCATAAAGATGAATAAAAAGGAAAAAAAAAAAAAGAGAAGAAATTGAAAAAGCTATAAGGAAATTGAGATTTAGATAATGTTAAAGCTAGATCTAAACCAAAATCTCAAATCTAAACACTCCTCAAGGACAATTAAATGCTCTTTTCTGTAAGTGTAATGCATGTGATCATGGGATGAGATTTGGATATACTATCATCGTGGATCCTTAGAACCTTGGGGATAAATGGGGATAAAATAGCCACTAAGGGCTTTCTTCTCAAGCAATTGCCTCTTTTTCAATTGGCTTAAGGGGAGAAAGATAAGGTGTGTTACAGTTGGTATCGGAGTAAATGGCACGGGTTCGATTCCCATTGATTAGTGGCTATTTAAAATATAATATACCCTTGAGCAAGGTATATTCCTACCCCTAAATTTGAAATCATACGTATTGGGCATTCATGTGTATGTCCTTCTTCTTGTGTGGAGTATCCACAGACGAAGGTATCCACCGTGGGACTGCAATACGGGTGGATGACTAGTTGCCTCACATGGAATAACTAGTGTACACATGCAGTATCCACTATGGGACTGCAATACGGGTGGATGACTAATTGTCTCACATGGAATAGCTAGTGTACTGTGAGACACAAAATCCCTAGGCCCCAAAGTGGAGCCAGAAGGGCGCCACGTGGTAGTGGCCGAAGCGAGAGCCAAATGAGCGTAACACGTTTGGACCAAAAGCTCCGACTTGAAAAGTCAAGAGCGGGAGTGGAACTCCCAACGAAGTGCTCGAGGAACGAGCACGAAGCGAGCAAAAAGCGAGGCTCCAAAAAGGGACCCAAAAGGACCAACACATGACACGTGGAAGTGTCCAAGATGGACTCGAGTTGGAGTCCAAAGTGGAGTCCGAGATGGACCCGAGTTGGAGTCCGAAGTGGAGTCCAAGATGGACCCGAGTTGGAGTCCGAAGTGGAGTCCGAGGTGGACCCGAGTTGGAGTCCGAAGTGGAGTCCGAGATGGACCCGAGAAGGAGTCCGAGATGGAGTCCGAGATGGACCCGAGATGGAGTCCGAGATGGACCCGAGATGGAGTCCGAGATGGACCCGAGAAGGAGTCCGAGAAGGAGTCCGAGATGGACCGAGATGGAGTCCGATATGGAGTCCGAGATTGACCCGAGATGGGGTTCGAGATGGAGTCTGAGATGGACCAAGACGGAGTCCGATATGGAGTCTGAGATGACCCGAGATGG